GCGGGTGAAGACGGAAGAGATCGAGGAAAATGATAATGACGAGTACGTTGACGATGCCTTGGGACCTGCACGAGATGATCGATCGCGCAACCGCCAGCTGTCCTTGATTACGGGGAGCCTCATGCCGAAGGATCAACTCGCGGGCGTGTATAGAGAGTTGCAAGCGATTCGCCAACAACAGCAAATCATCTCCAACACCATCACCAAACTACGGAGGGAACACGAGCAACTGTATGCGCAGGCAGCCAACTTTCAAGAGCAGCACACCAGGCACGAGAATTCCATCAACGCGATTCTGACGTTCTTGGCGACAGTCTACAATCGCAGTCTGCAAGGACAGGAAGGGCCGCAAAACCTAGCGAATTCGTTTGCTGGGGCCATCTCACAGGAGCAAGGCAATATCGTTGACATGGACGATTACTCGCTCGGGTCTCTAGGGCCTACCGACCTGACCAGCCCAACGGGACCGCGGTCGCTGAAGAAACAGCAGCTCCTGCTCAAGGCTCCTCCGGGGTCAGACAGTCAGGGCCGTGCAACGACCTTGTCTCCAGCTTCCACTACCTATGACCGCTCACACTCGCGCGGTCATGGCCGGCAAGCCAGCGTCTCTCATCCGGGACATGTCGAGGAGGTATACGACAACAGTCCTCGGCAAAAGGAGGCGCAACCGCCTCCAGGATCTCATGTACCCCAGCGGGACATCATGTCAGTCATTCAGAATTCCAACGCCCGAAACGGTATGCCAACGAGTTTCGCCGACTTCCCGAATGTCCTGTCATCGCTTGAGACTTCGGGCGGTAACTCGCCACTTACTCCCAGCCAACGCGCCGATATGCTTCGCCTCATGGCCCATGAGACAGGCTCCGGTGGAGTCAATGGTGCGTCGTCTCCAAATAACGCCTTGGTCACACCGACGCCTCCGCCAATGCCGCACAACTACTCCGGTCGACTGGCCAACACACGGGCGGAGATCGACAACCTGGTCAAGATGCAGGCCGAGCAAGATCGCTCTGTGCAGAACCTGACCAACCTCTTACAACCCCTCAGCCCGACGGGCACCATACCCGGAATCAGCATAGATGGCAGTGCGCCCCCTCCCCCACTTGACCTTGATACTATCTTCAATAACGACTACTTCACGGATATTGGAGATCTGGAACATAATAAAGCTAGCTTAGGTTATGGCGATCCGGCCGGGTCGGTGCCAGCCACAACCGCGGCCGACCCGGTGGTTACCGCCGGTCCCGATGGTGGGATCAAGGACGCGAACGAATTGTTCGACTTCGACAATCTCCCCGCTGACAATGATCTCTTTGGCGGAGCCAACCCCGCATCGCACAATTCGGGATTTTACCATGGATTCGATGGGAGCGGGTACGGCGCAAATGACATTCACGCCGGCATCGGGGCGGATGGGCAGCTTCCTAACGGCAAAGACTCTAGCAGAGTTGAGTCTTTGCCTGATAGCGATGCCACCAGCCCTGCCAACACTGTGGATGATAGCATACAGTACGGTGGGCTAGACACGGGCAACGATGCTCAGGGAGGTAAGGGTCTCGGTAGCGGCGTGAAACGGCGCAAGAAGGCTTGATTTCCGACTTTCATGATATCCTACTAACGGGGTTGGGCGCCGACAACGCTTGATTGCCAAAAAAGGACGAGGAGCGAGATAGACGAGAGCTGCAAGTGCACGTATACGTGAGGAGTCGCCACGAAAATGAGTCGCGAAGTCTATGAGGAAAATGCAGTTTACTTTGTTTGCTTTTCCTATCTTTTACTCTCTTCGTCAACCAATGTGTATCAGGTACAAGGCCGACTGCCTTTGACTCCCCTTCCTTACCCCTCCCCCTCTCCCCTTCCCCCACCCTACCTCAGTGCCCTTCAATTCCTTAAACTAGAACCTATTTTTTATCTATTATGTTGTGATGACCCACCAACAAAAAGACCCAAGCAGGAGGGATATGGCCTGGAACAGATCAACTTGTTTATATTTGGAAAAAGAAAAATGTTAGCTAGTTCGGTCTGCTTCTGAGGTCTGGCGATCAATCTTCTCACGCAGTGAGTACAGGCAGCATCGGTAGATCTCCTTTCTAAGCCATAATAAAGTAACGATTTCTTTATCATAGCGGTGCGTCTGTGACCTGGTTGCTCCGTACCATGTGCACTTCTGTTGAACCCACCAGAACAAATTTTAGATAACTCCCTTAAGAGGATTAATGCGACTGGTTGTGGCGTGTAGAGACAGGTCATTGTTCATGGTCCAGAGTATCTGTGAATCCATGGCCATGACCTGCATGCATGCACATTAGCAACCACCTCATATCTAGTTTACCCTTGCCTTGAAGCCCCAAGATGGTAGATCCATATATTATAGATTCCCCACTAGGTTTCATTCCAAACATATAGGAAGGGATAACTCAATATCTGTACAGATCCAGCACTCATCAACCCACCCCCTACATACAGACAGTGCTGTACAAATACAACCAAGATACCCAGAAAGTAGAAGGTTAGCGCCTCCGCTCCCTCTCCCTCTCCCACTCCAAATCGCCCACGCGGCCACGCTTCCGCTCCCGCTCCCGATCCCGCTCCAACCCTCTCTTTTTCCCGGAAGACCCCGACGCCGACGCCACAATCTCCCTCTCCTTCTCGCGGGGATCGATCACCATCAACGAATCCACGTCCTCCGGGTGTTCCTTCTTCCACTTCAGATCCTTGCCCAGCGTATCCTTCCCGAACCGCAGCTGGTGCGTCAACCACCCGCCATCATTCTCCGTGTCGCCGGCGGCGGATCCGCCGGTGGCTGCATCGTTCTCGTTATCAGCGTTCTCGTTCCACGACTGGCATGATTGGCAGTTCGCGATGAAGTGCAGGTCGCAGAGTTGGGCTTCTTCATCTTCATCTTCAGCTGCTGGCTGGGATGTGGTCTGGGATCTGGGGTTGCTGCTTTGTGTGTGCTTGGGGGCGGTGGTGGAGGCGGCGTTCTCGAGCTTGGCTTTGAAGGCGTTGAACATCTTCAGCGCTTGCGCGTCAGCGGAGTTGGTGCTCGAGAAGCCTGTTATGCCGTTGGTGCTGCCGCCGCTGGCTCCGGGGGCAGTACTGCTGCTGCCCGGGGCAGGGCGCCGGCGGCCCCGGATGGCGGTGGAGGGGATCATGGCTTCCAAGGCGGATTTCTTGTGGGCGGAAGGGTCGTGGATCGGGGCGGTGGTGCCGCGGCGCATCGAGGCCATGACGGCTTCGATTTCGGCATTCGTGCGGTCGAGTTTGGTTTGTTTGGGTGGTGGTGGTGGTGCTGGGTTGGGTTCGGGGGAGGAGAGACGGGATTCTGGGTCTGGGAGGGGGAGTTGGGTAGATGGGGAGGGGGTGCTGGGTTTGCGCGTGGGTGGTTGTGCTGCTGGTTGTGGTGGTATGCTCGATGTTGGGGGAGGTCGTTTGTTGCGGAGGGGTGGTGATTCCTCTCTTGGTTGTGGTTTCTTCGTAGACGAGGGTGCTGCTCCTGCATCGGTGACCAGCGCAGCATTGTACTTGGGTTTCGCCGCTCGCACGGGAATTCCGTCCTCCTCCGCGCCATCATCCCCATCATCCCCATCCCCACCAGCGAAACTCAACAGCGTCTTCTTCGGCTTCTTATTCTTCTTCTTCGTAGCGCCCTTGCCCTTGTCCTTCTCCACCCCTCCTGCTGCTGCTGACGGCGCAGCAGCAACCCTCCGCCCCAAAACCACCTTCCCCGCAAACCTCCCCAGCTCCCCGACCTCACACCCCGTCACCTTAACCGGATACACAGGCCTCTCCGTGCCGGCCACCACCTCCGCCTCCGCGATTTTCAGGACGGTAAAGATACTCTCCCCCTCCACGCGCCCAAACAGCGTACACTGCCCGTTCAACTCCCGCTCCGTATTCGCCAACGTAATAAAAAACTGGCTCCCGTACGTCCCGTCCTCGCTCTTGGCCATCCCCACCAGCCCGCGCCGGTTGAACCGCAGCCGGCTGTGCAGCTCATCGCGCAGCACGATTTTCTCGGTGGGGTCGCGCGCGTCCGGGTCCGTCTCGAATTCGGGTTCCTCGTAGATGGACGTCCCGCCTGCGCCGGTGCCCGTGGGGTCCCCGCCCTGGATGACAAACCCGGGCACGATCCGATGAAAGATTGTGCCCGTGTAGTAGTTGTCGGCGACGTGTTGGAGGAAGTTCCGCGTGGTGAGGGGCGTTTGCGTGCCGAAGAGAGAGAGGTGGATTGGGCCGAGGGTCGTGTGCAGGGTTGCGGTGGCGGTAGCGGGGGGTTCGGTGTTGTAGTGTGTTGACATTTTGGTGGTGAGGAAGTGTGAGTAGGTGTGCGAGTGGGTGGTGCGCGACTGCCTTTGAGAAGAGAGAGGGTTGGTTGATTTCTGGCGCCGGTGGGGATGGTGATGGTGCGGTCGGGTCGAGTTGCGTGTATGAGGGTGGTGGTTGGATAGCGTGGGTGTATGTAATGGTGAGGATGTTGTTTGTGAGTGGGCTTGCTGCACCCCGCGGTGAGGTGGGAATTGGGTTGAGCCGCGGAGAGAGAGGTTGGTTGGGATAGGAATGAATGAAGGTCAAGATGAAGCGGAAGCTGAAGCTTTCCCGGGAAACTTTCGGCTGCGTCACGTCACGTCACGCTCCTATTCGAGTAGTTATACTCCGCCCTAACCACTGCCACTGTCTCCAACTTTCTCTTCATGAATCCATCTCTTTAGTGCTTCGCTACTTAAATTAAGACTTTGCTATAGGTACTACAAAAGCTTAGTGGTTATGGCTCATTTTGATCTCAATTTTCATGCTTCAGACTGAGGAGTGCTGAATTTAGCCAAAAGCCGACTACGATGACCATTTTCGCTTTAAAGTAGAGGGTGACAAGTATCGATAGAGCTGCGGAAGTTTTTAAGTAGGATCTATATATAAGGGCATAATTGAGGTTTGTATGCCTTCTGTGCATGTATTCAAGGTATGAATGAGGGAAGTTTACTGAGGGTAGAAGTGAAAATCGGCTTTACATATTGCATGATTTTGTTCATTATCTGCGACTATTATTGCTGCATGAAGATCACCCGTTCGACTGTCATACCGTAAATCGTCCCTCATGAGAGTTCAAGTCCTGGAGCTAGATATCTAAATCCACAAATGGCTTTATTTCTCAGCATCGGCGGCGGCGGCCGCAGCAGCAACAGGCGCACGCTTTTTGGTGATGCGGAATCCACCAGCCAGGAGAAACAATGCTTCAAGGCCAAGGATCACCGCTAGAGTCACCATCGCGCCAATGACACCCGCCACGGGCCTCGAGACACCACCGTCGCTCTCCGACTTCGACGAAGTAGTAGTGGTGGTGGTGGTGGTGGTGGTGGTGGTGGTGGTGGTGGTGGTGTTTGAGCTAGTCGAGTAGGCCGCACAATCTCCATCGGTGTTGCCGCAAACACTGCACCACTGCTTGGTCGAGGTGACGGCGATCTTGCTCGAGAGCTCGGAGAACTCCGACCAGGAGATGGTAGGGCTGGACTTGCCATAGAGCGGGTACTCGGTAGGCGAGCCGGATGAGAGGGTTCCATTGTGAAACACGAAGCGCACGCTGATGTCGGAGGTCGAAGGGAACGAGTCCGTCGAGTTGGTAACCAGCTCCCATGCCATGGAAGAGGCGTAGTCAGGGATACCCGTGAAGTCGACGTCCGCAGCGGGCAACTGCGCAAGGCCAAAGTAGGACATGAAAGTACCGTAGGAGCCGAACTGGATATTCAGCTTGGATTTGCCCTTGGAGGAGATGGTGTCGTTCAGACCGGTGAGCACGTCTCCGGCTAGGATTGCACCCGCGATGGCGCGGATGGTGTCCGAGGAGTTGTAGGCCAAGTTGTACTGCTCGATGTTGGCAAGGAGAAGGGCCTGATGGAGTTGTTCCTCAGTGGGGACGTTGGTGGTGTTGTGGATGTACCCAACGTTGAGATAGTCGAAGATCGTGTAAGCGTTCTTGAAGCTCATCTGAGAGTCGGAGAAGGTCTCATTCAGCAAAGAGGACAGGGACTGATAGAAGTCCTGGGTGGAGGAGTATAGCGAGTTGTAAAGTGCCGAGGAATAGTAGTTGTTGCTGCTGATCTCGGCGTTCTGGCACTCAGTTGAGCTCTGTAGCCAGGCCGTGTCCTCACTATTCGAATTGGTCTCGGTGAGAGAGATGGGAATCAGCTGATATCCGTTCAGTGGAGAGTCGACAGTGCTGCCATTAGCCAGGGTCTGGTTCGCCGACGAGCCGACAGGAGGGTAGACACCCTGGAGGAAGCCCGTTGCCGAGTTCTGAAGCACATCGTCGGACGGTGATGAGACACTGATTTGGCTCAACTTGACGATGTTCTCGTTAATATCTTGGATCTGAAGAGACGAGTTCGAGTCAAGGTACCGGCTGCGCCAGTAGCTGCCTGTCTGATAGACTTCGCTGTAACCCAGGTCGGTCAGCTGCGTGTTCTTCAACACCTTAGCGGTACGATCTCCATGGCGAGCGAAGATATAAGCCCCGAGGATTCTCTCTGCTGATACTGGCAGGGCCAACGGCATGGCCAGCAAGGCAAGCATGAAACTGGACTGCTGGGTAGAGGACCGCATGATGAAACTTGACTGCCACGAGGTCTCTTACTCTGTGAAGGTGAATGGGAGAGGAGGAGTAGAGGAGGAGAGTAGAATGAGGGGAAGGTAGCAGCCAGGCCAGTCTATAAAAGAAAAGAACCACGGCTGACGGCCAGCCAGCCCGGCGTCTGCCGCGAAGCAGGACTTTATCATGAGATTGATTCGCCTCGACCACGGCGGGGTCCGCAGGGGGAATAAAACCCCAAGGAACAGGAGCTAAACCCTACAGATCGAAGGGTCATAGACGACATTACTACTGTGTACTTGGCAGGTAACTCGGGATTGGTTGGCCAAATTCGCTTTCCTGTCTTAGGGTGCAATTGCAATTGCAAATTGCGGCCGATAGGAGAAACGACTCCCCGGAACTGCCATCCTGCAGATAATGCTCGTATTGTCCCGCGGAAATGTGAAAAATGAAGCCATTGAACCATTCCAGCAGAGCTTATCTGATGCCAATGTTGAAATCATCCACTGGCCTGCCTGTTCCCCGCTTGCGGGCTTGGCTTCCATCCCGTGTTTTCTTATCGACCTTGACTGACACAATGGATTAAAATTGACCTTAATGGGATATTTTGGTATGCCTTTCTTGCTTTCTTTCTTTCTTTCTTTCTTTCTTTCTTTCTTTCTTTCTTTCTTTCTTTCTTTCTTCTTCCTCTCTTCGTTATTCTCAGTCTGAGTACCGCTGAATGTGGGGGCAAGATAGGTACCCAGTACTGAGTAGACTACCCCAGCTGCGGGGGTCCAACCCTGAGTCAGACCCTGGAAGGAATAGAAGTGGCCAGCCCTGCAGTTCAAGTTTCCTCTCAATGGCGAGTCTTCCCCCCACTCCGCTCATTAACCTATTTTGTCAATCGCCTTATCATCAGTAAGGCGCTATTGGCTCGTTAGGTAATTCTCATATTAACGCAACAGTCCTGTAGAATTCTTCTGATCAATTGACTTATGTGGTATAGAATGATTTGATCATCATGGATTCTTCTTATGGTGCTGATGCTGGACGACTGACTACCGGTCCATCAGCTCACAGCCATTTCGTATAACACCCACCAGTCCGCCTGTCTGCATTGTCTCAGAACCTCCTCCCGCTAGCCTCCATTCTATCTCCGCCAGCCCTTCCAGCCAGGTAATCCTGGTTTGTGCGGGGACTTCTACCCGTTGCAGCTGGTCGCCCAACGCAGACAGGATATCCGCCAGTGCTAGACCCTTATTGGTCTTGATCGTGTTGATCGTGTTGAGACATGAGGTAATATCACTCGTGTTAAGAAGTGTTCGCATGATCTCTTCGATATCAGCGGGATGGGGCGCGGCAATGCAGTCGTAAATCGTTTCATTCGTAATCGTCTCTGGCTCCGGACGGGGTTGGTCTTGAGGGGCATCCTTCATGGGGAGTGGTATACCTAACAAGGTCAGTAAAACGATTATTCTCAAGACTATCATCGGTGCATAAACGTACTGCTCGCATGGCAAGCTTGAAGGACATTCAAGGCACGTCGCATGTCGCCCTTGCTCAGCGTGACCAGGCTGTCTACTGCTTCGGGCTGAATGCTGATCTGCTCTTTCTCGATTACCTGGTCCACCAAGACTCGGATATCCCGCTCTTTTAAGGGACTGAATCGGAATCGGGTACAACGTGAAAGGAGAGCCGGGGAAAGTTTGTGCGTGTAGTTGGCGATGATGCAGAATCGCGTGTTGGCGGTGTACCGCTCCATAATCCGGCGAAGTGCCATCTGTGCGGTTGCCGTCATAGCATCGGCTTCATCGAGAATAATGAGTTTGAAGGCGGCGAGCGAGGAGCCTCCGGAGGCAGCTGCGGGTGCCATAGAGAAGATCTGCTTGGTGCCTAGCAAACGTAGGGTAAGTTTGGAACGCCATGCTGTAGTAATTGGTGGGTGGACATACTGGCAAACGTCTTGATCTGCTCACGGACCACATCAATACCACGGTCATCACTGGCATTCAGCTCTAAGACCATCTGCCGCATGTTCTTGCTGCCATATATCCGTCTGGCCAGCGCGAGGATAGTGGATGTTTTGCCCGTACCAGGAGGGCCATAGAGAAGGAGATGGGGGAGACGCTAAAGCTTGGTGAGTAGCTGGTGAAGATGTGCGGAGATATTAATGCGTACATTGGCTTCGACGAATTTGTTGATCGTGGCTAGAATATCCTGGTGTCCAGAGACATCGTCGAGAGTATTTGGTCGGTATTTCTCGACCCTGGGAACAGTTAGTGAGCAGAAGCACTATAGTAAACCGGAAACATGGTCAACGGACCAGGGAAGGTTGTCTTGAGCCTCAATTGGTAGATCTGCTGCGGGTCTTTTGGATTTAGAATTGGTGTTATCGGAGCTGAACTGGATCGCGTGTTTGGACGGAGCGTCCACGTCCATATCATCCTCGTAATCGGACATTGCGAATATCGGAACGGTGCGTTGCTGGGTGAAGAGTGCTAGAATTGAAATGGTAACTCAGAGTAAAGCCCGGAGCAAAACACAAGGGAAGGGCCAGACGCGTCGAAATCCCGCAGCGCGTAAAGAGGTTCGGGGCCGGAAAATCCCAAGGCGGAGGAGGAGTTCCTGAGGGCGGCCAGCGGGTGATGACATGCGACGAGGAATCTCCCTCCCGCCCGCCGGTCTGGCAGCACCGCCTTCTATCAGCACTTCTCCCCCCCCCTCACTCACCCCCCACTGCCTATTCTCCTGATCCATCAACAGCCAGCCCTCATTAGACAGGCTCTAAGGGGATTCATTACTCTTTCGCTACTATCACACCATGCCTGTAAGCTTTGCGAGACCTGTGCTAATGATTAATTTCATTCCACTTCCCCCCTGACACTGGTCTAGGCCTACCACTCCATCTTCCTCGAGGACCGGGATGTCCCCGTAATAGGTATGGCGGAATGCGCTCCCCTCTCCCATGCGCATTTCACGGAAACCCTCAAAGAAAGCAGCAGCAAAGCCAATCAACATGGACTAACTCCCATCGACTTCATCTTCTGATCTACAGGCAATTTCCCCGTCCTCCCCCTCCGCACCCGCACTCGCGGCCCCGCATACACCCTCCCTCCGCTCCCGCCTAACGCCGATACCGAAGTGCCCGCCGACAGCGAGTCCTACGACTGTGTCGACGAGATCCTGTCGCTCTTCCGGGCCAATGTTCTGTTCCGCAACTTCGAGATCAACGGCCCCGCCGACCGTATGCTCATCTACGGAACGTTGTTCATCACCGAGTGCTTGGGCAAGGTGAAGCCGACGATGGCTGCTCGCGATGCGGAGAAGGTCAGGAAGCTCTTTGTTATATGGCTAGAGGGAGAAAGATTTGCTGACGGCAAGTGGCACATTCTAGGCTCTGATCAATGTTGCGCTCGATCACTTTGCTATCCCCGGTGACGTGGCCTTCCCTCTGAACCAGGCTTTCGAGCCCCCTCGCGACCGTCAGGATGCCGAAACGCTCAGATCGTATGTCTCTCTCTTATCACTCCAAGGCGTTAGTGTCTGGTTTGGATTTTGCTGATGTGGTTGGTCTGCTAGTTATCTGTCTCAGGTGCGACAGGAGATCGCTATCCGCCTGCACGCTAGATTATACCCCGGTGGTGTCGGTCCTTCGAAGGTATGTTTCCTGAACCCTGCTAGTAGGGAGGAGGACACTGGCTGATATAGTCTTCTATAGTGGTGGCTCAGCTTCACCAAGAGAAAGTTCATGGGAAAGAGCTTCTAAGATAGACATTTTATTGCTTTGATTTTGCGCCCATTCAGTCAGCGTCTGACGAACCCATAAGGACGGCGGCCGAGGTATTGTCACTTTACTCTATGTATATTTGAATATGAGCGTTGTGAGAGCGAAAATCAACGTGGTTCGCTATGGTGACGAGGTGACCAGGTAACGCCTAACCATGGTCTTCATCTGAGCTTGCAGCAGGTGAGGTGGGACTAAGTGGCTTGTGTCATGCAGATCCGTAACAGGAATTCCCGAGTTGTTGCTCGGAAGTTGACATTAACATCATGAGATTCCACATAAGGATTGAACCCTTTCCGACTTGGTAATTCGTAGAGAGTCTATGTTACACGTTCGACAAGAGAATTGGCAATCCAGCACAGTTTACACAGTCATCTCCACATCAGCACCCTCGCCACTGTCTGCCAGGGTCTCATCTGACCGAGCGACCTTTCTCTTCTTGCGGCTGGGGTTACCTGCTGCCTCAATGTGTTCTTGCGTGGGAACAACTTTAATTCCGTGGAAAATGAAGCCGTCCGCACCACCCCGACTGGACATCAGGGGATGTGAGCGCCCTGGCAGGACCTGCCACACCCGAACTCTCGATGTCTCCAAGGTAGGTGCCAGTAGCAGGGTTGGGTCGAGAGGGAATTCCTCCTCGAGCTCAGATTTCACATCGACCGAATCATCTGATGTGGCCTTCTGCTCCACCAACTCGCGCCTTCGGTTGATAAAAGCAGTCTTTCTTGCGGTAGAGTACAAATCCATTACCTCTGTCAGGGGCTCGATGTTGGGCGAGTATATGGCGACAGGGGCCGAGCCGGCCAATAGTGGGATCGTGTACTTCAGCACACTGCTCGGGTCCATCAGGGTTGCGATCACCAAGCCATCGAAACCACCAGCCCGAGCCTCGTCAACGGTTCGTCGTACCCGCATCCACCGACCACGCTTGCGGTGGTAAGCACTGCGCTTGCTCGACTTGAATGTGGAAAGCTCCTCGGCGGGGATCTCCGTGGGTTCCTGAGCGTAGATGCTGTCTGCGTTGGGGTCCAGAAGCTGCATGAAGGAAACAGTCTTGAAGTTCGTGTAGAGAGGGTGAGAGTCGCTCGGGTCGTCGGCCTCGTAACCGAAGTATTTGAGGAGACTGATATTGGGTTGCTTGTTCGCATGGAGCAAGGTAATGGTGTTGCCTTGCGCAGACATCTGCGGGCGACGATTCCGACGTGACGGGGCACCACCCTCGGTCGGTTGTGCCTCCTCCTCGTGCTCCGCCTGAGCGCCGGCGGTTGCAGGCACTTTCTGATGAGCGTCCTGCTGCTCGTCATCGAAGTCTCCATCATGCGGGTAGAGGATCCCCATCCTCTCCGCCATAGCAGCGACCACCAAGCCACCGGTATCATCCACGACCAGGTACCGCCCATTCGGATTCGACAGAACGGTCTCCATGTCGAAGGAGGTGCTGCCTCCGTGGTGCACGTTGCCCCAACACCCCAGCAGACCAAGCGCCTCGTCGCGCATCTCCAGCGTTCTCGCCGCCTCCTTGTCCTGCAGCATATAGTTCGTCAAATAGCTGACATCCAAGGGGATGATCGTGAACCGCTTCATGTACTTCCGCTCCTTGCGTAGCTTGTACTTCGCCAGCGAGAATGCCGTCTTCTGATCGATCGCCGAATGTGACTCCAGGAGCTTGGCGATGATCTCCTTGCCGGCCCCCGTGCTCTCCTTCTTCAGGGCCTCGATCTCCTCGATGGTCAGCTTCTGCGTCGAGCGATCGTCGATCGTGTCGCGATTTGTGCGCATCGTCGATGCCTCATCGCTGGGCTCTTGGTCGTCACCGTCGCCTTCGCCTTCGGCGATAAGGTGTTCCGCATGCAGCTCGGCCGCCGAGACAATGCGCAGGTGGGTGCTATCGGGCTCGCCGGGGGTCTCGTGGATGTCGAAGGTGAGGTAGAAGGGACGACCGATGATCTGGTTGGCGGGGAACGTTCCATATTTGCCCAGGAATACTTGGCTACAGAGGTTTCTCGGTCAGCTAGAGTGTAATAGCAGATAATTGAGCCCATTTGCTCGGTCGGGGGCAAGGCGCGCGCGCATACGTATTAGGGACAATCTTTTGGATCCTCGTCTGATCGGACGGGAGCTTGAAGGCGACGAACTGATTCGGTCGCACGTAAGAATGCATGCTGGGCGACGCAGGGAAGGAGGGAAGAAAGGTTTCTCAATTCATCAAATTCTAAATCCAACCGTTCCGCATAGAGCACGCAAATGAGGAGATAAACTATGTCGCAATGCTAGACTTAGCTGATAAGCCTACTTGATCTGGGGGGTTCATTTCACTTTTTTTCAGCGATAACGCACGGACCCCCCACGAGCTTGTGATAATGCAGGAGTTATGTAAGCCCTGTGCTGTGAGCGGGAAATGTGGTTTTTCCGCCTGCCGGCGTAGCAGCCCAAGACGTCATCGAGTGGCTCGTGATAAGTGGCTTCGCAGTGGATACAGTGGCTGTGCTTCAGGTGGAGATTGTGTCAGTGATTAGTTCTCACTTTACCATACAATACACGTTGCCGGGACAGCGCAAGCAGATCCAGGCAGCCGAATTGCTGAATTTCAGACCCTTGCGGTAATTGGCTGTATGTGCTGGAGTAATTGGATTCTCCACCGCCGATTTGATAGCTTCCCGAGGTCGACTGTAACCCTTCTATTCATCTATTGGAATTCGGGTGCCTATGACCCTCGTTCGACTCAATCTCAACTGCTATCCCTGTCAGCTGCTGCTTCCAAGTTTACGCATTCAATTGCATCCTTCTCTGTCATATCTCTGGCCTAATGCGCAGAATTATGGTCGTCGACTGAAGTGTTTACTACGCCAGTGACGAGGCTTGGAGCTACTGCCCCCCGTTACGTATACATCCCCCCGGTAGCTTCCAACCACACGCTGTCGGCATTTCCCCTTCCATCATCCATCTATCTATTCATTCATGCATCGAAGGTGTCTGACTGCACCTGTCGTTTCTTTGTCACCAACTCATTTAAAGTTCACTGGCCTCTCACTTCTGCCCATACTCATTCTGCTTGTAATCTTATTGGCCCCCAAGCTTGTCCAACGTTTCATCGATTGACGCCCGTGAGCTCGGCCGGTCCCCTCGCCCCCTCCCCCCCAAGATCTGGACGGCAAGAACCCGCCTTCATGGTCCTGCGAAAACGAGCTCCGCCACGTCTCCAAAGTCTCGGCCAAGCCTACGATTCTGCAGACCCTCGTTATCTGTCGTCTAAATCCTCACCAACCTCCAAGTCATTGTCGTCGTCGTCCCCAAAGCGTCTTACCCGCCCTCGAAGGGCTCAAAGCACCCCCCAACCTCAGCGGGCCGCTTCCCCCGACTCCATCTTCTATCCCGACCTCAACACTTCACCGGCATTTGACCTGATGCCTTTAGAACAGGCGCAGAAGTCTCCAACCAGGGCCTCTCCCGGTGATGCCACGAATGCATGGGCGGACGAGCTCGTGGAGAGGTTCAACCTCGACTCGCATGAGTCCTCCGGTCTAGCGCAACCTACGCCAACAACAGGAAATAGTAGGGTCGCCCGTGTACCAACAGTCTTGACTCCCGGAGCTCATGGAAGGCCCCATACAAACGAGTGGCGGCAGCCACAACATCAAAATGCCGGGAATGGCTCTGAATGGGATCCGCACTCGGGCCAGCATTCTTCTATGCCGCTGCAGTCCAATAACCCGTTCCTCAAGCCAAGAGTGCCTTCCGGAGCGAACCCGTGGGAAGATCCCCAGTCCCGTGCTTCATATGGTGAAACATCATCGATCTCCCAGGACGGGGCAAGTGTCCGCTTAGGTCAAGGTAGGTCTACCCAGAGCGCTCTGTCCATGGCATCAGCTCTAACGGCATTTTCGCGTAGACGAAGGCTATATCCCGATGACCGCACGCTTGTCGCTCTTGGAACAGCCTGACGAGGCGTCCCCGTGGGCTGACGAACATACCAACACTGCCACGCAACCCACGCCACATTCGCAAGTCGAGCCTGCTCAGCATTTGCATGAGCCAGGCAGACTATCGCCAGATAGAAGCATAAGTACCCCGGCATCTTTAGATACCACTGCTACGGGCTCATCTCATGTTCTTATCGACTTGAACGATGCTCCTCCTTCGCAGATTGGGGAATCCAGCCGATTAGGTCCCACGGAATATGGAATCATGAACTCATCTCCCAATATGTCTCAGCCACAGAAGCGTGTTTCAGGTCCACCTTTACCGGAACGACCGAAAACGACATCCGAGCCGACTGCAGAGGCCCATACTCAGTCACCACTAACGGCTCCATTAACTGAAATAGAAATGCAGCGCCAGCAGGAGCAAAGATCCGAGACCTATTCCATTCGGCATGTTCATTGGACGAACACGACAGGCATCCTCTGCGACTCACCAGTTCTCATACAGAATAAAAATGGTCCATGTCCTCTCTTAGCACTAGTGAACGCCCTTGTTCTACGTGCAGCAGGGCAAGAAGTTCACCCACCCATCGTACGGGCTTTACAGACTAGAGAGCAGATCTCTTTAGGGTTGTTGATAGAAGCATTGTTTGACGAGCTTACGACATGCCTGAGCCCGAACGATGAACTTCCGGACATCGAGGCTCTCAGTCGCTTTTTGACTATGCTACATACCGGCATGAATGTCAATCCACGACTCACATTGGTATGAAGGCTGTCCCTTTCCCCTATTTAGCCCATTCTCACAACGCGCGCAGGAGTCCGAGGATAGCCTTGGCACTTTTCTTCAGACTGATGTTATCCGGCTGTATAGTACATTCGGCGTACCATTGGTTCATGGCTGGGTAGCCGCTCCATCTATGGAAGCCCATGCAGCCTTGGACCGGGTAGCGCAGTTTTACGAGGATATCCAGCTTCTTCCCTTTCGTATGCAGGAGCTCGAAGATCGGGTCATCCAAGGAGGCTCGCTTACGCCTCAGGAGGAACAAACTATGCAGGATATACACACCATCCATGACTTTACCGATGTGGAAAATGCAACTCAGTTGAGTCCCTTCGGCCTCGATCAATTGCTGGCAAAGTTGCAGCCGGGGTCACTGTCCATTCTTTTCCGCAATGACCATTTCACAACGCTCTACAAACACCCACAGCTCAATCGGTTATTCACACTAGTCACCGACGCTGGCTATGCCTCTCATGCGGAAGTTGTGTGGGAGAGCCTTGTTGACGTAAATGGATCAAACACCAGTTACTATGCCGGAGACTTCCGCCCTGTCAGCCATGATGCTCCTAGGGCGTCTGATCCCTCCGGTCCACGAACCTCAAGCAATCCAAGAGACTCTCTACCAGCGCCTCCGGAACGGCAAAGTGCCAAACTCACTCCTCAGGAGCAGGCGGACGCTGACTACGCTTACGCTCTGTCCCTGCAGTACCAGGAAGAAGAACAGAGAGAAAGCACCGCCAGCAATGACAGAAATCCGACCCATCGCGCCTCCATGTCCAATGCCTCCACTGGTGTATCCCGCGAATCAGCCTATGCTCACAATCGTTCATCTAGTGGTGTCAACGTCAGCAGCACTGGCAGCGGAGGCACGTACGCGGCAGCTGCGCGAAACCAGCCATCGCGACAAAGTCAGGGCTCAGGACGACGCTCGCAGACACGCTTTACAACCCATCGTCCTGTGCACGACGATGAAGCCCCGCCACCTTCTTACGAGCAGGCCGCCAGTAGTCCGATCTATCCGTCGCCTCAACGGAGCGCCGTTAACTCTACGGAAACGCCTTACCCACGAACCACGGCCGGAAGACGACCCTATGGGAACTCCATCTCAGCGGGGTCTGCAGAGCGCCCCAAAGACCGGAATAAGGATTGCGTGGTCATGTGAGATTCTTCCTCCCATTGACAAATGCTATCCACACGACTTTTACGACTTTGAAATCTGCTCTCGGGAGTGGACTTTGACCTCGGATTCGACGATAAGATCCTGTGGAATGACTGATGTTGTTATGTAATATATGAATACTGCTTTGCTGTGATTCTGCTAGATGACTAGCACACGGCAGGCTTTGTGTTACGAGACTTGATGTAACTTTGATAAGCATTTTGTGGATTGCAGTGGCTATATATGGAGGATGGTTGTTTTATAGCCTCCAAGGGCTTGACTTGTTGTCCCGAGTTTTTATTTTCTTGTTTCAGTGCTCGGAGTTGTACATAGCGGATAGCGTGAGGTCTGCTGAACACATGATTTTATGATACATGGAAGCGAGGGTATTTAGGAAAGAGGAGTCACTCCCTACGAAGTCCTGGACTATGAATCAAGAACATGCAGCCCTTCGTATGGCCCAGAATTTAGATCGACCTCTAGCCTAGATTACCAAGCAAACCATCTAGCCAACACAGATACATGTGTACCTTAGGCATCATTGTTAATCAGATCAGATCAGATTAGATCCCATCCTCTCCCCTCGCCTCGCCTCGCCTCCAAAGCCCCCCACGTCGCGTTCGCCGCGGGTGCCCCGGAAAGATTCCTATTGGCTTGAGCATCTATGAAAGTGGATTCTTCGCGTTTGATAAAATGACCTCTTAATTTGTACAGAGAAACGAGCGGTGACCTGACCGGGCTGGCTGGTTGTTGAGCTGGTGCTTTGATTGATTACAAGGAGAACTATCACTTGGCAGGAACAGGAACGGGCTTGAACAGCGCTAATGACAGACCAGACTGAATTGCCAACACAAACACCTTGATTCCACGGAATGAACAACCTTATCGTGCAGCTGTGTGGTAAAAGTGCAAGCTTGACCTTCCCGGCAAAAAAACAGATGCAAAAGAAGAGAAAGAAATTCCTTTGTTCATTTATCCTTTGCTCAATGGAGAGAGAGAGAGACTAGGGGTCAGAGATCTACTATCGTGCAGCGGCCCGTCTCGCAGACCATGAGATGATTCTTCGCCGGCTGGGACGGCCGCAACTCTTTGTACAGGGGGTTGCGCGTCCGCAGCCAGAAAGACTGGTTTCCTACAAAATCTCCCAGATGAGAGGGTCTGATATCCACAAGTGAGACGGTCGTGGTAGCCGTCGATAGTGTCGGGCCGGCCTCGGCGCGGAGCTTCTTTACCAGGAGATCGCGGACGGCAATCGGTTCCTCGGCGCGGCTGCTGCTGCTGCTGCTTGGCCCCGGCGGTATGGCTGCTGTGCTGAATACACCCGTGATGTTCCGCGTTCCCGTCTCCAAGCCGACGATGGCGTCTAGGAGTCCCACGAAAAGGAATGGGTGCTGCAGAATCTCCACTGAGAACGAGCGGCAGGTCTGGCGGGCTAGGGTACGATACCCCTCCTCCTCGAAGAGACTCGCGAGGCGCAGCAGATTGCGCGCAATGACGCCGTTGATGGATGGGGTGGCTGACTCGGTTCCGGTTTTCAAGCGTAGGAGGGGACCAGGCGTGCCTGGGGTCATGGTTGATGGGGTGCTATAGTAACCTGCGGGTGTGGAGCCAACGTGTGCGAGGAAGTTGTCGTTGAGATACTCTTCAATATGATGTATTAGCAACCCAGGTTATTTTCAACATTTACTAGGCACTCACTCTGCAGCTGGTCGGCGAATTGCAAAAAGCTGTCGTCGAAAGTCGCCTCGTACATATCCAACAGTCCACTAATCAAGTACGCATAGTCATCAGCGAAGCCAGGGGTGATCCCCCGAGCCCCGTCGCGGTAGATGCGCCATAGCTGTCCCGTTGACTTGTCAAACAAGTTTTCCTTGATGAAGTTGATTGCCTTGGCTGCCGCCTCCCTACACTGTGCTGCCTTTGTATTTTCAATTTCTTCGAATAGTGCACTGCACTTGGCGAGTGCCCCGATGGCAAGTCCATTCCAGGCAACAATGACCTTGTCGTCCAAGTCCGGACGTACGCGAGTCCTCTCCCTATAGTCGCACAGCTTCTGCTTGGCAGACTTGATAATCCTGACCACCTCGTCTTCTCCGAGACCAAAGTCTTTGGCCAATTTGCTAGGTGTCACTTTGACCGATAGCACGTTCTGATTCATAAATTCATCATGTGGGTCGTTCTCGGGCGGGATGTTGCCATCCGGCAGAACACCCCAGTGACGAGCACAGACCCCAGCATCTCGCTGACCGAGGACCTGAGTCAGCTCTTTCAACGTCCATACATAAAATGCGCCTTCACGCTTCTCGGTGTCATTGGGCGTCGGGAGACTGTCTGCATCTTCTGAGGAGTGGAAAGCGCCTGCTGGTGACTGGATCGGAGCCGATGTGAGATAGCTGACCAGGTCGTACACAGCTCCCAGTAACTCAGGATTATGAGTGATCTTAAATGCGTCTACGAAGACGTCCAAAAGCTGTGCTTGGTCGTACAGCATCTTCTCGAAGTGAGGTAATCCCCAGTTTGGGGTGACACTGTACCGCGCAAAACCGTGCCCGATATGGTCTCGAATTCCTCCACGTGCCATGCTAATAAGTGTATTGACTGCCATGGCGGTCGCCCGCTCACACTCGTCCTTCCCGACAATGTCCGACACCGCAGTTGGATAGATCCCCAGGCGCAGCAAAAAGGCCAAGTTGGAGGGTGTGGGGAATTTAGGAGCCGTGGAAAATCCTCCATGTACAGGATCGTATCTAGAAACGAAATGCTGATAGGCCTCCTCCAGCAGGTCAATGTCCAGGTCTTCATCCGCTTGCCGATCGCCTTGGTAAGAATGTGTGCCCTCCTCGGCGAATTCGCGGAGCTGTTTGGTGATTTCCTTCGCACTCTCGAGACACCTCTGCTGTTGTGTCTGCCAGACATCCCGGAGCTTTTCGAGGATTTCGACAAATCCGATCGTCTCGTTTCCTGTCAGGGTGGAGGAGTTGGGGCCGGGCCAGTAAGTCCCACCAAAAACAGGTTCAAGATCTGGAGTAAGAAAAACATTCAAGGGCCAGCCGCCCGATCCGGTGGTTGCCTGGACATAATTCATGTAGACATCGTCGACATCGGGTCGCTCCTCTCTGTCCACCTTGATTGGGATGAACGACTCGTTCAGCACTGAAGCCACTTCGTGGGACATGAAAGACTCCTTTTCCATAACATGGCACCCTAATGCCGGTAATTAATTCCGAGAATCAATGTGACCAAGAATAAAAGCGAGAGGCAGGCTTACAATGACATGCCGAATACCCGATGCTCAGAAAGATCAGCCGATTATGGCGTCTGGCCAACTCGATGGCTTCTGTGTCCCAAAGCTGCCATGCCACTGGATTGTTCATATGCGCCCGCACCTATTAATTTCGTCAGTGAGAATAGACGGAGTTCGATTTGCGCGGATTTGACGGACGTAAGGTGATTTGCTGTCCCGCAGTCGATTGACGAGCTTCGGTCCTGCGTCGGCCAGATTATGATGCATGCCTGATGGGGCAGCCATGTTGAGGCCGTAAGACATTCACGTGGTCCTAAGCCTTTCAAACAGTCGATAGTTCGTCGAGATCTCGCACTAGATAGGCAGCCTGCTTGCGATGCGCGCGTGAGTTAGTCAGAAAGCAGCTACAGGCAGCCGATAAGATATCACCACTTGGCCGTTGTATCGGACTAAAAGATGGCAGGGAACTAGCGGGGAATAAGAGAGTGAGTGACAAACCAGCTGCAAGCGATCTAATCCAGAGAACCAGCAATATCCAACGATCGATCGAAGAGTAAATGTAAACGGAGTGATTCGGCAGACAGACAGGCAAGCGGCGGATGAGGGGAGAGGGGGAAGAGGGAGGAAACGCATGTGCCCGCGTTACTAGTCAGTTTAGTAACATCACTAGTCCGCCTGGCCCGCATCCGGGAGATCGTCGCCTGTGCGTCATGGACTCGCCCCTGCATGGTCACGTGGACTGTAGTTACACCTCGGCATTCTACGTGAGACTGTACGCTACGGCTGATTCTACTGAGTACAATATAGCACACTACTTGGCTCGATCTCAGTCCATTAATCGTATCGCTTGGAAGTACGAGTATAGTCGTGACGGTCATTCTTGAATTCTTGGAGTAGCCTCAGTCCTCGCCCATAAGCTCGGCCAGCTCCCGCTCCTCCTCCTCCGTAAGCATCGACCCGGGGTTGGTGGGCTGCTCTTCATCCTCGGTCGAGGTCTTATGTGCCATCGCTACTGCCGTCTGAAGCTCATCGGGCTTCAGAGACCACTGTCGGATAGTAGCATCAATACTGACACTGACGACTGTTGTACCCACGAGTACTAGCCCTGTCACTTCTTCGTAATGTCCAGAGAAGGTATGGTAGAGTTGTCCGGTCTGTTTCGTTGCGGTTAGCAGAAGTCCAGTCAACACAGCAATCTTAGAGGAGTGTAGACCTACCGATCGATTCCACACGCGGACCTCTTCATCACGGCACGCTGTGACCACCCACCCACCTTGCTCATAAACCACCACATCACGAACATAGTCGGGATGATCCAGGGTTGTGTTGGATTTCCAGCCATCATCTCGACTCAAGCACTTGGTAGTCTTGTCGGCCGAAGCAGTCCACAAATCGGCATCCTGGTCGAAGAACAGTTTGTGCACGTTGGTCTCGTGAGCCAGGATTGCAGCGGTACCGGTTTGATCTTGGCTGCCCTTAGAGATGTCGAATTGGCGAATCTCTCTGTCGCTTCCAGCACTGAATACAATCGGCTCTGGGCTATCCGAGTCCAGCGAGATGGGATCAAAGGCCAAATCTTGAATCCCCTTGGCGTGGCCCTTCAGCACGGCCAATCGTTGCCCAGTCGCGATGTCGAAAACTATTATTTGCGCATCTGCGCCGCCCGAAACCAGAACATCTTGCCCACGTATTCTCGTACTGATGACGGACCGGACAAAATCCGTGTGGCCTTCATATCGCAGCTTGCGTTCCTTTGTAG